GGCCAAGCATAATTAATATAATCCTCTGAGTGATTATTTTGTAAGTGGGCCATGGGACTGTGGGGGCTTGGTGGACCAGAGAAAACTTCTGACTAGTGTGTGTGTGTGTGTGTGTGTGTGTGTGTGTGTGTGTGTGTGTGTGTGTGTGTGTCTGTAGGGTATGTGTTAGTGGAAGATGGATCAAGAAAGGGTGGACTTGATCAGTGCATGTTATGTGATATACATTGACCTACCATGATATGAACAGTGAATGCATACTTACCAAGAAATAAAATATTTAGAACTTGAAACTTAAAAAAGATTAGAATAGAAAATTCAAAGTATGACATCTACTGATTATGAATCACTTTCACACTACCATAAAGCCAGAAAACCCTAAGCTGAGTGATAAGCTAGGATCTGTCTGTCTGTATTCATTTATTTCTTTTTATTTTTTGAAACATAGTCTCATGTATCCCAGGATGGTCTCAAACTCACCATTTTGGTGAGAATGACCTTGAACCTCTGGTCCTTCTGTCCCTGTCTCTAGAGTGCTAGGATTATTGGTATGTACTACCAAACCTGGCTTTATGAGGTGCTGGGGCTTTAGAAGTGTTGGGCAAGCATTCCACCAATAGGCTGTAACCCTAGTTGGCTGGCCGTGTTTACAACTGCAGAACCTAGGAGTCAAACAATGAGCACTGTGTTTCCTCCAGTGACCTTTGAACCTACTTCAGAATGATCTCAGTGAGCTACCATGGTTGGATAGGCTTTGCCCTGGTGCTCTGACAGTGTCAGGATATTTCTAAGGACATAATGATTAGCATAATTTAAAAAAAAATTGGGGAGAGTACATATTAGGTACTGATTTTAAAAATGAAATCTTAGTTAAATATAAAAGAAAAAAAAGGAAATGTGGCTTTGATCATGGTACCACCACACTAAGAAAGAGGTAGAATATGGCAAAAGTTTTAAGATGACCTGCCGGTGCTTGGCTTAATTCTGCTTGTTTGAGGAGATGCACTTGGAGGGCCAATTTTCTATGCTAAAATAAGCAGGCAGTTATTTCCTCTGGACCTTTGAGTGCAGACTATCTGAGTTGCATAACTCTGACTGGCATGTAATAAAATGAATCTCTCCCTGCCCTCAGGGAAGCCATCAGCCGTGTCTGCGAAGCTGTGCCAGGTGCCAAAGGAGCCTTCAAGAAGAGAAAGGTACTGCCGCCCTCACCGTGTGTCTGTCTCCTCCTTCATGTCCTCTCAGGGCCATACTCCATGTCCTCACCCACATAACTGTCCACTGTCTTCTTACATGACCTGGATCTTGTTCTTTCTTAAGGGAAAGCACCTAGCTAAGGCTAAAACACCCCTGCCCTGGCTCTCAAGCAAATGTTGTGGATACTCATGTAGCTTAAACCCTGGAGACAGTGATACCAATCAACACCTGGCCAAGCATCCCTTTAAGCCCATTTCATAACGTGAATTCATCTACCCTTAATAGCTCATGTTGCAGCTACTCCAGTATACATGCTAGCCAATGCTTAAGAACTGGATTCTAGGGTTGGGAGTGGGGAGCAGGACCTTGCATTTGTAGTGATGCAAGTTACTGTGGTGTAAATACCTCCCTATGATTCAAGCTTTCAACACAAGGTCCCTGGAGAGAGTTGGGAAGAGACACAGCAGTTCATCACTACGTAGTGTTTTCTCCAGGCACAGCAGATGGGTCCTGAAGGGCACAGGCTCACATAGCATGGGACCAGGAGCGAAACATCCAGGACTCAAGAAGTATTTTACCATCTTTAGATGTCATCTATGTACTTGTGAGTTTGTATAAATTAACTTTCAGTAATAGCTGTGCTTCGTGGTGAGCTCATAACATTTCTAATGACATGACAAATGGCTTTCCTGAGCTGGCTTGCTATGTCACTGGAAAGCCTGATGTTTTAGATGACAAAAATTGAAGCTTTGGACTGAGAAGCCACAAAGTGAGTAGGAGCTGGGGCCATGGTAAAGCCAGAGCCACCTGCTCCGGAGGCTGGGTGTTCAACTACACTTCTAGAACTTTCCATCCTGTGTATGGTAGGAGGGGAAAATATCTGGGGGCTGGGGAGATAGCCCAGCTGGCAGAGGGCTTATTGCATAAACACGAAGACCTGAGACTGTATCCCCAGCATCCATGTAAAAAGCTTGGCATGGCAGCACATGGCTGTAATCCCAGTGCTGAGAAACTGAGACAGGCCGACCCTGGGGCTCACTGGCCAGCCGTGGTTGCAGAACTGGCATGTTCCAGGTTTTTTGAGAGACTCTGTCTCTAACTCTAAGGTAGAGAGTTTTAGAGGAAGACTCCTGATGACCTTCCGTTTCCACATCTGTGTACACATCTGCACACACACATACACACACGGATATAGATGTGATATATATCACAATAAAAAGGAAGAAAACATTGAATTAAGCTCCCCCCTCTCCCCTTCTCCCTCTTTCTCTCTCCCTCTCCCTCTCTCTCTCTGTCTCTCTCATTAAGTAACTAAGAAATAAATACTCAGCACCTACAATCATGACTTTTATCTACCTAGAAGGGATTTGTGGGAAAGCATACCATACAGAGCCCCAATTCTGCCCCAGGATGAGCTTTCAGGTTCCGGATGGTTTGGGCTCCAGGTCACTTCTGTCTTCAGAACTGGGGGCTTTTGTAAACCTACAGGGCAACTGGGCCTGGGGCACAGAACTTGGCAGCTCAGGTTATGTGATGGTGGCTTGTCCCCTGGGGGTCCTGGGAACCAAGTAAGGCTCCCAAATCTTGAATACAAGAACCAAGGTGTGTGTCCCTTGGGAACAGCAAGGAGGACCATCGTCTCTCAGAACAGGTGGCCCTACCAGGTCTCGTTTCCCTTCCGTTTCTCTTGGTGGGAAGAAATGGAGATAATGGCAGCTTTCCAGGCTGTGCCCAGATGCACTCAACCTGACTCTCACACAGAGGGGACGGGTTCTCTAAAGGGCTCTTTTGAAGTGTTAAATAAAAAGAAAAAGAAATAAAATGGCATGGCAGGGATCCTAAAGGAAATAGCATCTATCTGGGAAGCAAAGAGCTGCAGTTTGGGGATGCCAAACCAGGGCAACCCCTGGAGGTAAGGTCAGCAGAAATTTTTCTCTTTTAAAATAGAGAATTTCCATTAAGTGTTGCCTTTGGAGACAGTTCATTGGCTGGGCAGACACCCTAAACTGCAAATCCATTCTGATTGGTTCATTAACTAGGCTACTTCCCACTGAGAGGTTGGTGTACAAGGCCCGCAGGTCTGGCTTTGGCCTCTTATCTGAGTCACAGGAACATCCTGTGGCCTGAGCTTCAGCAGAGGGATGTGACCTTCCCAGTTTCCCAGCTCTACTTTAGACAACCTTAGTGGCTGCGTTTTCTCTCCTAGTGGATCAAAGAACTGTGCTTCTTTCTGGTCAGGAGCTGTTGGGCACAGTGAGCAGGGGATGTTGTAATCAAATGGAAAGTGTGAGCAGGAGAGGGCTTCAGTGTGTGCCCGGGGCCTGGGCACCTGGCTGGACACTGAAGCTGTTCCATATCCCCGTAAGGACTTTGTCGACAGGCGAGGGAGACGCTGGCCACAGCAGCCTGTCTCTCCACACCGCCCAAGTTCTGGGCAGTCAGAATCTAATGGGACTGTCCAGGTGAGCCCTTAACAGGGAGCCACTTCTGATGAGGATTCCCTTCTGGAGAGAGAGAGCCTTGTGACCTTGTGAGGCTGCTCCTGAGCCTCGGTGCCAACCAGCTGCTACTCGCCTAAGAGGCAGTCTGTGTCTCATCTGCCGAGACAAAGTTTGGATGTCTGCAAAGCTGTTGATGGCCCTGCTGTGTGGTTTCTGCAGGTTTACGTCTAAGACCCAGGAGACACCTGCATATGGTCAAGGCAGCCCGAAAGACCAGGAGTTCTCCCCCGGAACTGACTTATTAGACATTTATAATTTCATACCTCATATTACTGAATGTGCATATTGGCGTGGGCTCTTATTTTCCCAGCTTTTCCATTTTCCAATTGTCTGTCTTCTGGCACCTTGGTGGGTAGCAGCAGCCAGTGAGAGTCTGTGGGGGTACACTGACATCTCTGCCTCTACCCTTTCAGACAGAGTCTGAGTCAAAAGCTAAACTATCACCCTTGGATTTCACAGCCTCCAAGTAAAATGCTGTCCAGCATCCTGGGGAAGAGCAACCTCCAGTTCGCAGGGATGAGCATCTCCCTGACCATCTCTACCGCCAGCCTGAATCTGCGCACTCCCGACTCCAAACAGGTGTGAGGTTACCCAGGCCTCCCTAGGCCCGAGGGTGGACATCCCAGGGGCTTCCTCCTCAGAGCTTACTGAGCCCAGGCAGAACCTGCTTGGCCAAACCGCGAGCTTTGGTCACTTTGACAGTCCACCCACAGATGGATTAAGAATTCTCTGGAATCCTGCTCTAAATGATGTCTGTTTTGTTGGTCTGTTTGTAATATAAGGAAATGGTGATGTCTGTGCAAACGTCTTGGTGTCTGCCCTTGTTTTATAGCCACGCTGTATTGGTTTTATGGGTCACATTTTAATCTTACCCTGCATGGTGTGCTGTGGTTTAATAGACAGGGGTTTTCTTCCTGATGGCTTCTTATGTTGGGGCCTCTTATAGTTCATCTGGTCTCAGAGTTGATGAGCTGTACATATCTACAGTGTAGATAGGGTAGAATGACCCAGGCAGCACAGCCACACTTATAAAGACAAATTCCAGGTAGGAAGGCTGCATTTCTGTGTGCTATGTTTTATGTCAGTCTATCTATCTTTCTATCTATCTTCCTTCCTTCCTTCCTTCCTTCCTTCCTTCCTTCCTTCCTTCCTTCCTTCCTTCCTTCCTTCCTATCTATCTATCTATCTATCTATCTATCTATCTATCTATCTATCTCATCATCATCATCATCATCTTGTATGTATGTATCCATCAATCTATCAGTCTATTTAGCTATCTTGTATGTATGTATGTATGTATGTATGTATGTATGTATGTATGTATCTATCTATCTATCTATCTATCTATCTATCTATCTATCTATCATTTTGTATGTATGTATCCATCAATATATCAATCAATCTAGCTATCTTGTATGTATGTATGTATGTATGTATCTATTGCTATCTATCATCTATCCCTAAGATGCAGAGACAAATTAGATCTAATGTACAAATAAGAAATAAATCAGGGCTTTGTTAAGACACAACTAACTACAACTTCCCTGTTGTCTTCCAGGGACCCACTGATAACTGCTTGTCTTTTTTTTTTTATTATTTTCTAAAGGTTGGACTAACCAGTCTTTGAGGCCGTGGGTCTAGGATGTCCAGTCAGCCTAGCCTTTCCCAGGCTGTCCTAAGTTGAGCCCCAGTTGCTCATGGAGGCTGGCACACTAGGCTCTAGACAGCCATGCAAACTGGAATCTGGCCTCTGTGCACATGGACCATTCATTTCTAGGGGTCCCTAGGCTGTAACTCTCCACCCTCCTTGCTCATTCTCTCCTTAAAAAGATGGCCCAGTAAGGATAATGCTAGGCTAACTGGTCCCGAGGCCCTGTTCTACCTTGGTGTGGTCCAGGTTGGGTCTAGCTGGGTGTCCAGTTCTCATTTCCCTGCCATGTATTGGGTGGGTCTAAGTGCAGTTTTCCAGACACCCAGGGGCTGCAGCTAGGGTGACACAGGAGCAGTCCCCGTCACAGGTAGAGCATATGGCTGTGCCTTTCCCATTTCCTGAGTTTAGGTCCCCACTGCGGCAAATAGAGAAAGCAAAAGCCCCCGCCTCCTCCATCCAGGGGGCAGACACACAGCACCCACTCCAAGATGCTGGGATCCAAGAAGAGGGATAGCGCTGAATTCCTTAGAGGAGAAACATGCTACCCTAGTGGTTCTCATCCTTCCTAATGCTGCGGCCCTTTAAGACAGTTCCTCATGCTGTAGTGACTCCCAACCATAAAATTATTTCACTGCTACTTCATAACTGTAATTTTGCTACTGTTATGAATTGCAAGTATCTGAAATGCAGGATCTCTGATATGCGACCACCAAAGATGAAAGGCAATCATGATAGTGATCATGTATCCACTTGACCAAGCATGACTTAGGCTCCCCCCCCCAAATTATAGCTTCCAATTTAATTTCCAAACCCCAGATTTAGAGTTGGCATGTATGTGTGAGTGTTTGTGGGTGTATTGTGTGTGTGTGTGTGTGTGTGTGTGTGTGTGTGTGTGTGTGATGGGGTGTATGTGGGATGTAGAGAGAGAATGTATATGTTATGTGTATGTTGTTTATGCTTATGGTATGATGTGTGTGTGTGTGTGTGTGTGTGTGTGTGTGTGTGTGTGTGTGTGTGTAAACCAGATGACAGCCTCATCTGAAGACTGTTGGACACTGTCTACCTTGATTTTTAAAACAGGGTCTCTCATTGGTCTGGAGTTCCCAAACTTGCCCAGACTGTCTGGCCAGTGGGCCCCAGGAATCCTGCTTTTCTGCCTCCCCAGTGCTGGGATTACAGGCTCCATTCCCAGCTTTTTCAATGTGTTCTGGGGAATCAAACTCAGGTCCTCATGCTTGTATGGCGACCATTTATCAACTGAGCCATCTCTTTAAATAAACAAAAAGTTAGGCACACAAAAATTAATTTTGCAGCATTAGAAACTTGTGCTGGGCATGGCAGGTCACACCTGTAATTCTAGCGGTAAGGAGGTGAGTCAAGAGGATCAGAAGTTCAAGGCCATCCTCAGCAACATGAATTCCAGATCAGCCTGGGCCTCAAGACACCAAAGTCCTAGTTTACTGTTGGGGTTCTGCTGCCTTATCATTCACTCAGGCGTTGTTGCCCACAGGCAGCAGGATTCTAGGGCAACTATTATTAGTTAGTTGCCTGGGGCTTGGGCACAGGCCACCCAGCAGCCTCACTGTTTCATATTTCCTTAAACCCTCAGGTTTCTCTAGATTGAGGTTTTGCAAATGTCAACAACCAAAGTCAGCATTTTAAAATATTTAAAATTTTATCCTATAATGATACCCGATTTCAGAGTTTTCTTTGATGCTCTGTGGACTACTGGCTGCTGGGGACAAGGGCGGAGGACAGGGCTTAGAAACAAACCTGGCTATGTTAGGACAGAGCCAGGAGCTCCTTTCCACACAGGAACGTTTCCTCAGTGTCCTTACATTGTCTTTACAGAGATAAAAATAGCAGGGAGGACTTAGGTAGCTTTTAGAATTTAGGGCAGCTTCTAATTCACTCTGTGTCACCGAACTCCATGGATGCCACAGCTTATAAACCTGATGGAAATTTTCCTTTTAAAGATGAGTGTGGAAGGGCCCCTGCTCTTTAGGCCAGTGGATTAGGAGAGGGCTGTAATTCTTGGGTGCTGGCCTTCTGATTTATATACACCTGATGTGAGTGTGATGGGGTGAAACAGGCCACACTCCCCACGCCTGGCTCCGGTGTTTGGGGAAGCAGAAACTACAACTTATAATAATGTTTTGGTACAATGTATTTTTTCCCTTCTTTTGCTGTATGTGTATGTGTGTGGTATATGTTTGTGTGGACGATATGCACATATGTGTAATGGGTGTATGTGCACATATGTGAGCATATATGTGGAGGCCATAAGTCAACCTCAGCTGTTGTTCATCAGGCAGTGTCTGCTGGTTGATTCAGGGTCTCTCATTGGTCAGAGACCTGCTGATTCAGCTAGGCTGCTGGTCCAGCTAGCCCCAGGGATCCACCTGTCTCTCCCTTTCCAGTGCCAGGACTGTAGCCACCGCACCCAGCTCTTTTTCCCGTGGCTTTGGGGGGTTAACCTCAGGCCTCCCTGCTTGTAAGGCGGGCACTTTACCACCTGAGCCGTCTCTCCAGGACCGCCTCTTCCTTCCTGGAGAAGTCTAGTTGTGGAGACCCTGGCCTCAGGTTGGAGTCCTGATTTCACGGGTCTGGAATTGCTACACTTCTTTCTTTGAACAAGTCTCTTGGGCCCCTCTGGGATCATGGTCTGTGCCTGTAAAATGGGCTTCCCACAGTTCTCACTCCTCAGCTGCTGGGAGGCTTAATGCGGCATTGGAATGGTCAACCAGAGAGATGCGGGAAAGCACTAATGGTTCCTCTCCTCTCTTGTCTCCGCCCTGCAGATCATAGCGAACCATCACATGCAGTCCATCTCCTTTGCCTCTGGGGGAGACCCGGTGAGTGGCCTTGGCAGATTTCTCTTGCTCTTGCTTGGGATTTCTGAGAAGAAACCCCTGCTTTAAAAATGTGCCTCTTGAAGACATGATACAAAAGTGTTTTATGCTGATTCTAGTGAAACCCCAAGTTACTACTCTGATAACAGTCCAGTTGTTTTAGGATCAGGACAGTTTCAGTCTGGGTGGAATTCTATTCTGACAAAGTACATGTGCTCAGAAACAACTGTAGTGTCCCCGGAAAAACAAGTTTTATACCCTACAGGGGAAAATCCTTTGAAATAAACAGTGTTTTGTAAGTCAAAATATTTATCAATCAAAAATTTCAAGGAGTCATAACCCCTGAAGCTGTGATTCCAGCTGTTTATCCCTCTTGGTTTCAGAAGTCCTCCCCCGCCATGCTCCTCCCCCCTCCCTCCTTTCCTCCTCCCCTTTCATTTCTCTGTATTAGAGACCGAGCCGGGCCAATGGTCAGCAACCACTCTGTTTTTAAGATACCGCGTCATAGTTCTCTTGACTATCGTTACATCTCTATTTGGTGCAGGAGGGGTAACCTGTGGTCAGGTCCTACGTTCATTTTCAGCCACGAAGTATCAGGAGTTCTGGAAGCATGGCCCCTACGAGAGGCATCCAGAGCTCCCGTGTCGGACCCTTCATGCCACGTCTCCAAAAACCACCTCAAAAGCAGGCAGACAACATGCGAGGGATTGAGAAACCGAGGGAAGAGGGAGGAAACAGGCCAACTCCTTCCAGCAGTGGTAGGGAGAAAGGCTCCTTCCAAACGTTATCATGATAGTTTTTATTGTTCTGGATAAAGTTTTCAGTGGCTAAGGGCAAAAAATTAGAAGCGGGATAACAGGACGAGGGATAGTTTTTAACCCAAGTTCATTCAAATGACAAAAAAAACTTTTTTCCTATAACTTAAGATATCCTTTTTACTTTTTTTGGTGCCCCCACCTCCCTCGACACCTGAGGAGGCTGTCCCCCCCACCCCAGACATACACAAGATCCCCAAGTGGATACCAGAACAAGGGCCTGTCTCCAAGGGTCTCAGTGACTGAGAACAGAGATGGAAAAACTACAGAATAAGATCCCCACAGCCTCTTCTCTGGAACGTAGTGTGCCGGCTGTGGAACGGGGCACTGCCTAGAGCACTGTTCTGAATCCGATCTACTGGGGAAGGATGCCAGGTCAAGATCGAGACTGACAGCAGAAGAGCCATGTCCTAGCTTGGCCATGGCCATCTGAGAGACGGCACATCTTCCTGGGCCTTCCTTCCCCAGTCACAATGTAGTTTCCTAGACTGGAGGAAGAACTGCTCCCCTCTTAAAAAGGCAGCACCTGTGCTGACGGGGTAATTTTGCTCTTTGGCTGTGTGCAAAGCCCAGACAACAGACTCCCACGTTGGTACAGTTTCCTTGAACTCTAAATCCCTATCAGATTTGGAAATTACGAAGGAAGGCTGTAAAGCTGATCCTGTGCAGTTATGTTAATGTGCCACAAGAGCAGTTGGTTGAAACTAAACGTCTCCCCTTCCCCGCCTGCCATGCATCTCTGAGCTGGCTCCAAGGGTGGCTAGTGTCTTTTGGGAACAGTAGCTCTGGTTCCCAGGCGATTCAGTTCACTGCTGATTTCTTCTATTCAAGCACGACCTTCAGCGTGCATCCTTAGGCACAAAAGTGACAGCAATTTGGGTCAGTTGGGGCAAAGACATCATCCGCTCTGCTTCTTGAAAAAACCCACCTCCTGTAATGTGGGGAAGCTGGCTGTGGAGCTCAGTCTTGACCCTGCAACCCAGAACCAAATTAAGGACATGGCAGCTGTCTAGACGATCCCAGGTTCTTGGGCTAGCTTTATAAGACTGTGGAAAGAAAAACAGTGCCGGAGAGCATGCCCCAGGGCTCCAAAGCTCCAGGGCTCCAGTCTGTTGGCAAAGATGTTCCTGAAGTTTCTTAAGGAGAATTGCATCTCTCACATCCCATGAGTCTGGGAGGAAAGTGAAGAATTGTAAGCTACAATCCATATTTTTGCCAACAGCTTCAAATCCTCAGAAGATGCCCCTCCATGGAAGTGAACAGAGGCCATTTTATAGTCTTCCTGTCTTTTCTCTCACTGATCTATGAAATATTAAAGACTAGAAAATGCACTCTGCTCTGAGGAGCCTCAGAGACAAAGGTTCTGCTCTGAGGAGCCTCAGAGACAAGAGTTCTTTTGTTTCCACCACTGGAAGATTCCCCATGCCTCTGTTCTCTGGAAGTCTTGGAGGGCACCATGCCCATGCATCCCTCCCCACACCCACACCCCTCCCCACACCCACACCCCTCCCCTCCCCTCTCCAGGCAGTATTTGCTGGATCTCTGTTAAGAGGGAGAGGACACTTCCTTGTGGAGAGAACAGTACAAGTCAGCACAGACCACTACCACTCAGGCAGACGGCACAGTTAGATGAACCTGAAGCCCTTTGCAGCATAGACTTTGGAAAATAACTACAAAACCAGGCTGACCTTTCAAGCTGCCCTCTGAGGGGTGGTGCTTTTAACAACTAACTTGTCACCACCCAGAATGACTTGGGAAGAGAGTGTCAACTGACAGATTGGGCCTGTGGTGTCGGAAGAGGCAGAGCAGGGTGGGTGGCGCATTCCTTAGGCAGGTTCCTGAAGAGTGTGAGAGAGGAGAAGTCAAGGAGGGCAGAGAGGAGCGAGCAGGGAACCGTGCATGTATCCTCTGTCTCTGCTCTTGGCTGTGGATGTACAGCTTCAAGGGCTTGCCCTGACTCCCTGCAAGAATGAACTGTAACCTGGAATTGTAAGTAAACAAACAACAAACAACAAACAAAAACAAAACCCTTTTCTCTAGTTGCTTTTAAATCAGGGTGTTTGTCCTGACTTAAAAGCCCCAGAAGTAAAACTGGAACAGAGTTTCTGTTTGTTTGTTGTTTGGTTGGTAGAGGGAGTCATCAGGGATCGAACACAGAGCCCTGTGCTTGGGGGTAAGTGCTCTATGCCAGAGCAACGCCCCCAACCATAACAGTTTTTGAGGGCCAACCTACCCCAGAAACTTTAGCCTTTTTTGGTTTGTTGTTCCGAATGTTAAAAATATCAACATATAGAGAAGTCTTGCTGGCTTTAAGAATTAAGAAAATAGGGCTTGAGAGATGGCTCAGTGCTTAAGAGCACTTACTGCTCTTCCACTTGACCCAAGTTTGGTTCTTAGCACCCACATAGGGTGCCTCACAACAGCCTGTAACTCCAGTTCTAGGGACCCAGCACCTCGGGCCTTCACAGGCACCTGCATTCAGGTGCACACATTCCCCTGCCAACACACACACTCAACTGAAATACCAACAGTAAATACTAAAATAGTGCTTTAAAAAGCAAGAAGAGAATGACCAGGTCCCCAGCTACCTGTTCAGAAGTGAGTGCATGCAGGCTGCCTCGGCAGACCACCAAGGAAGGCCTCAGAAGGCTGGCGAAGAAACGCAGTTCACACTGAGGGATGAGACTTCTAAATAAAGCCTATGTTAAAAAACAAACAAACAAACAAACAAACACATTTATAATGCTTTAGATTAGCCACACACCATTGTTTAAAATAACGAGATTTATTGTGACAGTTTCCTCTACGTAGCCGACACACTTTGATTGTGTTCACGCACGCACCTTGCTCTCCTCTGGCCCCTCCTCTTCCTCAGAACCACCTTCTACTTTCATGTCTTAGATTTCTCAATGTTGACCTATGAGTCTTTCTGACTCTTTCTTGCTCACTTCACTTAATAGAATGACTTCCAATTCCATCTGTTTTCCCGGAAGTGAGATTTCATTCTTTGTGATTGCATAGAACTCTGCTACATAGCTTACAACAGGCTTTCTCTACCCCCTCATCTGCTGGAGGACAACTGGGCTAATTCTGTATCTTGTCTATTGTGAGTATCCAGTCTTTAAACATCTGCTCTAGTATTCTTCCCAACAATCAGTTCTCAAAGAATAGTCTCTAACCCCACAGCAGCTGGAGTGTGTCAGCAATCCAGTTTGGGGGTCCAGATACAAAACTGGGGTACAGCCCAAATCTGTCTTAAGCCTTTAGGGGATTTTCACAGGAACTCAAGTTTGAACGTGTATACACGGTACTGACAGCCCCTCTTCTTGACTTTGATTCACACTAGTGCATCTACGAGCTCTGAGCAGGTCTTCATGGTCGGGTCTCATTCTCAAACCCGCTAAGTCAGATGAACCAGGGTGGTGAAGAAGCATCGTGAAAGACTCCCAGAGGAACCTCTGTGGGGAGGTCAGGTGCCTGCCACTCTGGCTGCTCTGAGTGTGGTCACGGACTGGTAGCATGCACACCCGGGGGAGGGAGGGGTGCTGGTTAGTGATGTCTGAACTAGCAGCTCATGATTCCTCAGGCTCTGCCTAGTCTGCACTCAGATCTCCAGGGATTTCCAGCCACATCCAGGTTTAAGGACGTTCCTCAAACCATGCCATTTTGTAGCATTTTGTACCCAGTATCTGGCCCTTCCTCCCTCCTTTCCTCTCTCCTTCCCTTCCTTCCTTCTTCTCCCAGTACTGAGGAGGCTCAGGGCCTCCCACACTAGGAAAGTGCTGGTCCATGAACTTTCCTTCCAACCCTGATTCTCCGCTGTGTGACAGATGAATGGATACTTATCTCGCTGGGCTCTGCCTCCCTCTGGTCTTACTTCCTGCTGTGATGAGTGATACAAATGTCTCCTTTTCCTTCCACAGGACACAACAGACTATGTTGCCTATGTCGCTAAGGACCCTGTTAATCGCAGAGGTAAGCAATGCTCGACCCATTTAATCATTCACTTGTGTGAAGCCAGGCTGGATGCTGTGAACCAGATGTTCCTCATTATCTCAGCTCCTTTAGCAAATGAGCACATGTCACGTGACATGGTTAAGGATAATTAAGGCCTGCAAGAGTAGCTTGTCACCTGGCTGAGAGAGAACCTACCGGATGCTGACTGCCAGGCTCGCACCTGTGTTAGGATGGCTGTGGATTGATGTACCAACTCACACATCACCGCTCACCCTGTGCTCTGATAGTGGCCTCAGGCATGCATTCATCTCTGCTTCCTGACTATCTATGCATGCAATGTGAACATCTGCCTCAGGCTCCTGACGCCTGTGGTGATGACTGTCCCCTCAACCTGTGAGCCCCAATGAGTCCTTCCTTCCTTAAGTTGCTTCTGTCAGGGATTTTATCAGAGCAATGGGACAGTAACTGTGTGGCATGGGACTTGTCCTAGAGGAGTTTGCACAGCAAAGGTGGGAGACACTATGCTGAATATCCTTGCAAACTGCTTCCAACTTGGCTCTGAACATTTGCATTGTCATGGTAAGTATGTGAGGTTCTCCCCCGCTGGACCCCCAGCCAGTTCTGGGTAGAGGAGCCCAGAACGGACACCCTGCCAGTGATGATTTGAAGTCAAAGACACAAGATAATGGGAACTTTGGAGAGTCTGGCTTGGTCTTCCTGTTCTTCCCCTGCAGACTGAAGCTTCGTCACACGTCTTCACTTAGGGTGGTGGGGAAAGAAGTGGGTTCCTGCAGATGACACAGCACTGGCTCCTAATCTAGACTCTCCGCTATGTCTCCCCTGAACAGAGCGAGACAATTAGACAGTTGTGTCAGTGTGTGTTCGTGCATGCACAAGTGTACGTGTGTACGCGCAGGTGCACATATGTGAGTGTGCGTGTAAAGACCAGAGAACTATGTTGGGTGTAATTCCTCAGGTACTGTCTACCTTATTTTTTGAGGCAGTCTCACTGGCCTGGAATTCTCCAAATATGCTAGGCTAGCTGGCCCATGAGTCTAGGGGTCAGGCCCCCCTTGTCCTTCCCAGAGCTGAGAGTACAAGCTTGTCCTGTGATGCCTGTTCTTTTTTTTTTAAAATCTGGGTTCTGGGGACTCAAACTCAGGCCCTTGTCCTCCTAAGGCGAGCACTTTACTCTTTTCTCTAAAGAATCAGACAGGTCTGAGGAGAGAAGAAGGGACAGGGCTGTGAGGGCCCCGGGACGTTTTGCTGGCATTAATACTCATCTGTCTTCTTGAGTGACTGTATATAGCCAGTCTGGGCCCCAGGGGAGCGGGGTTATACCTGTGATGGTCAGGACTGCTGCCTAGACCGCTGGGGCAAAACTCTTGTTGCAGACTTAGAGGCTTGGCTTAGCGTCTAAGGTAGCAAACACAGATTAAGTTGTTTAAGGCGACAAGGACATCACAGTTCTGGAGGCTGCATGCCCAGTTCATGGTGTCAGCAGGGCCTTATGGGCTCTCTCTGGGTCCTGGAGGAGAAATCCCTCCTGCCTCCTTCTGGCTTCGGTAGTTACCAGTGATCTCCAGTGTCCCTTGACTTGCAGGTGCCACTGAAACCCATCCTATGTGGTGTATTGCTCATAGATACCTATAGAGATGACAGTCCATGGTGGCTCAGGGCCCCTTCTATCTTGCTGTGACCTCATTTTAACTAACTAGTTACATCCGAAACTTCCCATTTTCCAAATAAGGACACCTTTTGGGGTCCTGGGGTCAGGTTATTTGGCATAACTTTTTTTTTTTTTTTTACAGGAGGCATAATCAAACCCACAGCATAAGCCAGTCTCTTTAACTATCCTAGCTTCCCCCAAATCAGGGCGGGCATGGAGGAGGGGAGGCATAGGCAATCCCTCACCAGGCACTGGCCCCCCAAACTCTATCTGGGTTAGAAGCAGCTGGGGTTCATTCTTTGTTTTGGTTCATTTCAAATTAAGGGCAAGTGATCTAGGCAATTTTGTCTTTCAGAGCTCTTTAGTAGGTCCAGGTCAATGGTCCTCAAAATGAACGACACTTGAGAGTTACTTAGGAGCCTTATTAAAACATCTCAGCACTCAGGCCTGAGAGAAGGGAGCCAGGCAACAGTGTGTTTAAGTAGCTCCTTGGGGCCTGGGGAGACCGCTCAGTTGGTAAAGTGCTTGCTCTGCAGGCCTAAGAGGCTGAGATCACTTCCCAGAGCCCACCTGAAAAGCCAGGTATGATGGCAACATCTGTTATCCCATCACTGAACGGTGGACACAGGAGGATCCTGGAGGCTTGCTGGCTAGCCAGCCTAGTCTAGTTGGTACATTTCAGGCCAATGAGAGCCCCTTTCTCATAAAACAAAGTGAATATCCACTGAGGAATGGCACCTGAAATTGTCCTTTGGCCTCCACATACACATGTACACATGTCACACACACACACACACACACACACACACACACACACACACACACACACTTTGTGTGACTCCGATGCTCTGATGGATTTAAAGCAACACAGCACTAAGGTGTAGCCTATGTCCCCAAGGTGTGTAGTCTCCAAGCACTTCGCTTTGGACCAAACAAGGGCCCAGCTTCTGTGGTGTTTCACAGTCCAGCCATCTTGTGCCCATCCTCACCTTTCAGAGTCAAGGGGCCAGGCTTTCCTGCATGTGTTCTTGGTCCTTTCACCAAGGCTCCCTCTGAGATCGACATGCTGTTGGGAAAATTGAGGCAGTGCTACCTTGCAGGATAGTGTTGCATGCATTTCTAATGGTACTTTATATTTGTCTCCCAGTTATTAAGAGGCCACAGCTTCTGTAATTAATCCAGTGGAGGGAAAAGAGGCCCGACTCTCTGGTCATTAAGTCATGTGGGAATCACCACCAACCATCTCAAGATCAGGACTGCACATGAGTGAGGCTTCAGGAGGCTGGTGGCCAATAGGAGATCTACACTGATGCTTGTTGAGATGGAACTCCCAACATGTCAGCTTTGTTGGATTCTAATACATCATTTTCTTTCATTTTTTAAATCTTATTTCCCCTTTCACCGTGTGTGTGTGTGTGTGTGTGTGTGTGTGTGTGTGTGTGTGTGTGCCTATGGAGGCTACATACAAGTAGTCTTTGAGTGTCTTCCTCTCATCTGCTCTCCATCTTATTTTTGAGAAGGGGTCTCCCCCGAACCACGAACGCATTTATTGACTAGCCACCAAGCACCGGAGCCCATCCCCCTCTCTCCTCTGCAGCCCTGGATTCACAGAATGCATCATCGCACACGACTTTTAATGAGGCTTCTGGGGACCTGAACTCAGGTCCTCCTGCTCTCATGGCAAGCCCTTAGCCAGCTTAGTGGTCTTCCTAGTCCCTGTGTAACTTTTGACTGGCACGTAATTAGTTTATTTATGGTGTTCAGGGTGAAGTTTCAGCACACACTATGTGCAATGGTCAGGCAGGATCATTCACCTTCGAACTGCAAGCCTCTGCCACTGGACTCCCCGCTGTGGTGGACTGTACCCTGGAACTGGGCCAAATGAACCCTTTCATTTGAGATGCTTTTGCCGGGGTCTTCTATCACAGCCCCAGGAAGGAAACAGACACACTCTCAACCGTGTTTTAAAGCAGCTCTCTCACTGAACCTGGACCTTGCTGAGGAGACTATGTGGCTGGACAATGAGCTCTAGGAGTCCTCCTAATTCTTTCTGGGTCACAGGCCTCTCCTTCCATGCCTGGCTTTTTCTGGGGTCCGAGGGACTGAACTCAGGCCCTCAGGTTTGTGTGGCTCGGGCTTTATTGACTGAGCCCCTCCTAGGTCCCTACACCGTGCCGCCTAGAGTTTCAACCAGATTTGGTTGTCAAAGCTTCATTCTTGCTAAGTCAAGAACAACTTTCTCCTAAGTCCATTGAACAGATCAAGATCCATCTAGGAGGTACCAGTTTAAATCCATTGCTGAGGTTCCTGAGGCCTTAAGAAAACTCGGTGAAAGATCTGGTTTGAATTGAGTTTTTTTTCTAAACACTGCTTCCCTATGGAGTCAGAACCACTGCTTTATAGATTCTGAGAGTATCAGAACTGTAAGGGGATGGAGAGGTGACTGGGTGGTTAAGAGTACTTGCTGCTCTTGCAGAGGACCCAGGTTGGATTTCCAGCACCCACAGGGTGTTTCACAACCACCTGTAACTCCAGTTCCAGGGGAATCTTCTGCGCTCTTCAGGCACTGCATGCGTGAGATGTGTGGACATACATAAAGACAACACACACACACACACACACACACACACACACACACACACACAATGAAAATAAGTAAGTTTTAAATATTAAAAATAAAACCATTACTTTTGCAGACAAGCCCTCTAAGAATTTCATGTGTCTGTCACCACCATGGGATGTCCACAGAGATGAGATTGGGTTAGTAGAGACACCAGAAGGGAGGCGTGTGGCTCTTTTCCTCTGCCCCTCAGATGGGGCTCTTTGCCAAGGGGTCCAGAGAGCCCTGGCACTGTCTCTAATGAGTGGGTGTCTCCTTCTCTCCTAGCTTGCCACATTCTGGAATGCTGTGATGGGCTAGCCCAAGATGTCATTGGCTCCATTGGACAAGCCTTTGAACTCCGGTTCAAACAGTATTTGCAGTGTCCTTCCAAGATTCCTGCTCTCCAGGACCGGTGAGTAGCTGGGCCTGCCTTTCTCAGCGGCTCATTTAGGGTCTGTAAACATTCCTTTAAAACAGGCTCCCAGCACTGCACTCCAGGCAGGCCCAGATCATCATGGGGTTTCCAGAACTCACAGACACCTGGCTGGTGCTTGGAGGAGGCACAGAAAACAGACAGATGGAAGCTCACATATGGCCGTGAATGGGCAGGAAACATTTTCTTGAAGCTATGGTGACAGTACACAAGGTTACCAAAAACAGCTTCATTGTAATATTTTTGTGTCTTCTCCAGCCCTTTGATTTTTCCATAGGTCCCTCCCTGGGTCTGAATCCACACACGGTCTGTGTCTCATCTTTTGGTTGCCACAGTTAGCCAAAGCCACCTGCTGCTGGCATCATTTTTGCTTTATTGGTCTCGATGGCCTAATAACTTCAGGGCTTGTTCATCTGCCATATGGCTCTGGGCGAGATCCTTAAGCTGTCTGAGTCACTGCAGCTTCTTCTGGAAAACAGGGCTAAGAACCGCATGATAGCTGTTTACTGTTAAGTGGAGTAGCAATTGTTAACACCAAATGTGGGCTACTTAGGTGTTAATTAAAAAAAATAGTCTGCTATTGAGTTTCCTTGGGATGCAAGAATATTTTATGACATAGAAAGTTGAAAAGTACTGTTGGGCACATGGGGCATTTTGTGGTCTTCTGTCTTTGAACTTGTGTACATTCTGTTCTTGATGCACTTGCATAATGAAAAGCTATTATAGGCTGGGTGGTGGCTTGGCCAGTGATGTACTTGCCTTGTTGGGTGTAGGACCTGAGTTTTATCTCCAGAACCTACGTTTACAAACAAAAACCAGTCAGGTACAGTGGCGTGTACTTGTAATCCCAGCGTTGGGGAGGTGGAGTCAAGTGGATCTCTGGGGTTCACTGGCCAGCCGGTCCAGTCTTCTTGGTGAGTTCTAGGCCAGTGAGAGACCCTTTCTCAAAAACAATGTAAATAGCCCTGAGGTTGACCTCTGGCCTATACATAAACAAATGCATGTCCATCAATGTACATGCGCCCACATATACATGTGTACACAGGAAAATCTCTCTAATGGTATGTTCACTGCAAACAAGTATTGCTTCCCTTAGGTTTACTTCTTGCTCTCTTCAAACTTATGAAGCTGCCTTCTGTGGCATCGTCATGGAGCTGGCGTCTGCTCTGCCTCCTTGTTCTGAAGGTGTCTTTCAACTCCTCTGTCTTCTTTGCCTTTCTGGAAAGACCCTTAGTTCTACAGCTGGCAAATTCCCTTTAAGGCACCCATTGTGCCTGTAAGGACCCCCTTTACCCAGGTTGATGAGTTCAACAGGATGGGGCTGAAGGAGGTGTGAAGGAAGTGGCCACAGCCCTGACACCTCCGTTTGTGTTTTGAGAACACACTGCCCTTGTTAGCTTTAATTGTCAACTGACACAGCCTAGAGTCACCTGGAAAAGGGAGTCTCAGCTGAGGGCTGAACTGATGGGCTATGGATCTGTCTGTAGGGGATTGTCTTGATTGTTAATTGATGCAATGTGGCCCAGCCCACTCTGGGCAGCACCATTCCCTGGGCAGGTAGTTCTGGGCTGTATATGAAATCCAGCTGAGCATGGGCCGGTGAATGAGCCAGTAAGCAGCCTTCCATCTAGGTTTCTGCTCAAGTTCCCTCTTTCACTTCCCTCAATAATGTATAGTGAACTTGTTTTGAAATAAGCCCTTTGTGAGCATTTGAATTGTCTCCTTCTTTTAGCTCTTAGGAACAAAGCTACTGTGAAGCTATAGTCAAGCTTTGAAGTAGACGTATTTCTTGTGTATAAGCTTAGAGTAGAATTATTCAGTTAATGGTCCTACTGTTTGTTAACCATTTAGGAAACTGTCTTAGCTGCCTTTTACTTTTTTTTCCGTGATAAGGTATTAGTCAGGGTTATCTATAGGAACAGAACACACACACACACACATACACACACACACACACACACACACACACACACACACACACACACACACACACGTATGTGTGTGTTACATGGGGTTTATTAGAATAGCTTATAGGCTATGGTCCAGCTAGTCCAACAATGACTGTTTACCAATAGAAGGCCCAAGAACCCAGTAGCTGTTCAGTCCACAAGGATGTCTCAGATGACCTTCAGTACATGCCAGAATCCCAAAGAAGCAGGCTCTAATGCCAGTGAAGGAATGGACCTGCTAGTAAGAGTAACCACAGGCAGGCAAAGAGAGAGCAAGCTTCCTTCTTCCATGTCCTTATATAGGCTGCCATCAGAAGGTGTGGCCAAGATTAAAGGTGGATCTTCCCACCTTAAAAGATCTGGATTAAAGGCATATCTTCCCACCTAAAAAAATTTGGATTAGAAGTGGATCTTCCCACTTCAAATGATCATTTGTATTTTAGTTAATTCCAGATGAAATCAAGTTGACACCCAATAATAACCATTCCAGATACTCTGAAAAAATCAACATGAGGTAAGAGGGGTCTATTTTGGCTCACAGTTTGGAAGTACAGTCCATCATGCCAAGGAAGTCAAGGCTGTAGAAATGTGAGGCAGGTAGTCACATTGATCCACAGCTGGGAAGCAGAGAGCAATGGAGGCTAGATAGAAGCTTAGTTAGCTTCTTCCTTGTGCAGTCCAGAGACACAGGCCCATTGTGCCACAAGTTATTAGGATGGGTTTTCTATTTCAGTTAACCAAAGCAAGGGAATCCCTCACAGGCATGACTAGAGGCTAAACTAATCTAGATACTCCCTCACAGGTGTGGCTGGAGTCTTGTTTCCTTGGTGATTCTAGATCTTGTCAGCTATCATAGTCAAATGATTTTTCAAAGTGGTAGTACCAATTTACATTTCCATAAGCATTTGTGGGGGTTTCTTATTCTTCCATGCCCTCATCAACATTTGATACTGTCCACATCTTTGATTATGACTGTCCTGGTGGGCAAGAAAATCTTTGGTGATAGTTTTGACTTGCATTTTTCTAATTATGATATCAGGCATCTTTCATGTGTTGCTAGTCATTAGTCTATTTTCTTGGGGGAAATGTCTGCTCAAATATTTATTTTTTAAAATTGGGTTATTTTTCTTTTAAATTGTTGAGTTGTAGGGGTTGTAGATTTATGCTACCTTAAAAAATATTATTAGCAAATATTTCCCTATTTTGTGAATTTTGTTTTTGAATGTGTTTTGTAGTTCTGTGTATGTCATGATGCTCCAATGATTTCTTATTTTATTTTTGTTTTTAATCATCATTGATGTATAAAATACAACTGATTTTGTGTATTGCTTTTGTATCCACGAACCCATTCTTTAGACACACTTTAGCTTCCTGATTTCCCTTGTAATCTTTTTGACCTGCTTATTTAGGAATGTATTAATTTTAACATCTTACTAATCTTGCAGGAGTCTACTTTGATTTTTACATTGATTCCATTATTATCTGCAAAAATACTTTTTAAATTTTAATTCTTTAAAAAAATTTAAGCTTACTATTAGATAAGCTTAACATTGCATGCTTTCTCCTGGGGAAGGTTCCCTCTGCATGCAAAAGGAAGTTGTATGCTGTTGTTTGGGGGTAGAATTTGCTGTTGATGTCTCTAAGGTCTGGTTAGTTTTTTGTGTGCAAATTTCTATTTCCTGATCTTCTGTCCCGTCATCCTATATAATACTAAAGTATTAGTGTTTCTCCATATTATTGTTGAACTTTCTGGTTTTCCCTTTGTCTTTTTCTAAATCATGTTGCTTATAGAAAACTTATTGGATCATTTTCTTATTTGCTCTGTCAACCCCTGACTTTCAAGAAGAGCATTTAATATATTTGTTTTTAATGCAATTGCTAATAAGTTAAGATTTCCTCCTTATATTGAGCTGCTATTTTTCCTTTATGCCATTTTATCCTCTTATATCCCAGTTACTATCTTCTTTGTGTAAAGTAAATAAACATTCTTCAAGTGTACAATTTAACTTCTTCTTTCACAACTCTTAAAGTAGTAATCAGAGGATTACAGTTAACATTAATTTATAACTATATATTCAGATTAAAGAATTTAATAATCTACAGAACACTGGCTTCTGTACAGCTCTATTCTTCCACACTCCATTATGCTATTTTTTAAAAAAATATTTTGCTTGTTTTTAATTATGTGTGTGTATTTGTGTGTATGTGTGTGAGTACATGTGTGAATATGTGCCTTCAAGTGTGCAAGTGAGTGCAGTGTGGAAACCAGAAGAGGGTTTCGGATGCTCTGAAGCTAGAATTGTGAGGCCCTCTGTGTGGGCTGGGAACGGAATTTGGGTATTTATTCTGCAAGAGCCCCAAGTGCTCTTAACCCTGCCACATCTCTCCAGCTCTTCCACTGTGTTGATATTGTCATGCAAACCACATCTTTATTCATTGTGTGCTCATTAATACAGTTGCATCGCTTTATGCATTTTTAAATTATAAGGGAAGAATAAAAGTTTTAGGCAAAGCTAAATTTACATTGTTTTGTGTAGTCAGACTTTTATTATCTTCTGCTTCTTCCTTCTGTTGTAAATTTCTACTGATGATTGACTGATTTCAGCTTAACATACTTGCAATAGTAATCCCTGAAGAGAAGATTTTCCACAGTGTGTTTCTCCTGCTTTTACTTGCCTTGGAATATACTTTCGGCCTCATTTTGGCAGTATTACTTTATTGGATATGGACTTCATGACCCGAAACCTTTCTTTCCCCTGCCTCTGGCCTCTGCTTCTGAGAAGAAATCAGCTGTTAGTATCCCGAGGATCCCTTGTTCTCAGGAGCATCCCCCTCTGCTGCCCTGGAGACGCCCTCTCTGTCTTTAAATAGTTAGATTAGGGTGCTCAAGTCTCTCCGAGTTTACCTAAGCTGAGCTTTTCAGCTAGCCTCTTGGTTGTATAGAGCAACATTTCCTTTAGCTACTTTGGGAAAGTTGTGCCATCATGAGGCCAGCATTTCCCCTGCTCTCCTCAGTCTCTGCTCCCCTTCAGGGACTGCTGCCTACATATTGGTATTCTTGGTGGTGTTCTACAGGTCTCTCAGGCTCTGTTCACTTTTATTAATTAGTTTTTTCCTGTTCCTCAGACTGGTTCGTCTCAGTTGAACTATTTTAAAATGTTGTCTCTCTCCTTCTACCTCCCAAACCTGCTATTTACTTAAGTGAAATGTTAGAATTTTTTTCATGTTTGCAGTGATGGTAGAATTTTCAATTCTAGAATTTATTATTTTTATTTCTTCATGAATGCTGGTAACTCCCATTTCATGAGGCATGTTTTTCATATTTAGTGTTTCATACATCATTTCATTGAAGTCCACTGAACATATTTAGTCTTTATTTATCCTGAAGTCTGGGATTTCTTTGTGACAGTTTCTTTGGACTTATTTTTCCTGTATACGAGCTATACTTGCTCCTTTTTTTAATATAGCTTATAATTTTTTTCTGACACTAAAATGTAAGCAGTAGAAGGTTGCCTGACTGAAAACATTTCTTCTCTCTCTAGGGTGTATTCTGTTAATGTTTGTGGTGGTTTGGGTGACTTTACAAACTAATTCTGTACATTCTATAATCTACATTTGTTATTCATGTCCTTAGCTACGCTCCTTCGCTAACATTTGCAGAGGTTTCCTTAAATGTTGAACAGTTCATCCTCTCAGTCTGTACTGAAGGGCTACATGTGTGTGCATGCATATATGAGCATATGTATGTGGATATGCATGCATATACATGTACACACATGTAAATGTTATATGTGTGCATGTGTATGTGTGTTTGTGTGTGTCATCGTATGTATACGCATATATATGTGCATATATGTGTATGTATATGTAATCTTTGAGTACGTGTGTGTATGTATGTGTTGGTATACTCCTTCAACATATGGTGAATCAGGTTTTTTTTTTTTTCAGCTTTCACCTTCTACTTGTGAGGTGTTTAATGGTAAACCAGAAGTGAGAATTTAGGGCCATGTTACACGCTGTGGGAATGAACACAAGCTGAATCCTGTAAATGTTTGTTGCCTTCTAGATAAACGTGTTGGAGTTTATTAGCACCCCAGCTTCTCATTTTAGGGTTTGTAGTTGCCATTGGTTGTGGTTATCAGTTTTGGTAACCAATAACCCCTCAAATTCCATAAACTCTATATTCTTTGTCACTTACTTCCACTAATAAAAATGGTTTGACCCAAATGTTATTCCCAGCTTCATGTGGGCCACATGATAAACATTTGCCTCTGAATATTTGTGACAGATGCCCGAGGCAAGCTCTGCATCAGGTTAAATAAAGACAGCTTTGGCAAACACAAACAGATGATAAGTGCTTAAGGAGATGGGAATGCTAATTACTCTAATTTGGTCACTGTGTGTTGTATAAATGTATCAAGTTAGCACACAGCACCCCATAATAAATGTGCAAAATTACTATGTGATAATTAAAAGTAAATTTTTAAAAAGACAGCTTGGGGAATTGGGTGCTCAAAGGAACACTCAAACAGTGTCTTAGTTCGGGTTTTTATTGCTGTGAAGAAACATCATGACCACAGCAACTCTTATAAAGAAAACAGTTAATTGGGGTGCTTGCTTACAGTTTCAAGAGGTTCAGTCCATTATCATCATGGCAGGGAGCATGGTGGTGTGCAGGCAGACAGACGTGGTGCTGGAGCTGAGAGTGCTGCACCTTGCAGGCGACAGGAAGTCAACTGGCAGTCATACTGAGGGAAGCTTGAGCAAAAGAGACCTCAAAGCCCGCCCCCACAGTGACACACTTCCTCGCAGTGCCACTCCCTTTGGGGGCCATTTTCTTTCACACCACCACAGATAGGGAAAACAATGATAAATTTTGGGGGACTGGCTTTTGAAGGAAGCTCAGAACTGCCCTGTCCTGTTGGTGGCTACTTGGGCGATGGTTGTCATGGACTGAATGCTGTTAGCTTACAAGGCTACCACAGTGATGAAACAGGGCTATTTAAGATGCCACAATGGTATCGATCTTACTGTTTACGTCATTGTTTGAAATGTTTATTTTTAGTTGTGTGTGTTATATTTGTGTGTTATGTGTTTTTCTTAGTTTTCTTGTCTGTTGCTGTGATGAAATGTCCTAACGAAAACAACCCAAGGAAGAAAGGTTGGGTTTATCCTGGTTCACAGCTCAAGGTGCAGCTGATCACAGACTATAATAAGAGACAATGCCCAAATGTCAGTGCTCAGGTTGCTTTCTTCATCTTACACATTCCAACACCCCTCTGCCCAGGTGATGGTCTTACCCACAAGTGGGTATGCCGTGGGATGGTCTTTCTGTACACTGTGAATATGTTATTAGCAGCTGCAGAACCACAGGTGGGAGAGGTTTGTTCAGACCATGGGGCCTCAGCGGGACCGAGAAACTTCTGGCTACATGGGCGGGTCTTCCTGCCTTAATCAAACCATAATCAAGATAATGCCCCATGAAAATTCCCAAGGGACCATCTCTGAGGTGACCATAGGTTCTGTCAAGTTGACAGTTAACATTAACCTCAGTGTGTGTGTGAGAGCACACATGCAAGAGCCCAGAGGAAGACTTTAAGTGTCATCTTCTTTTTTTTTTTTCCGAGACAGGGTTTCTCTGTGTAGCTTTGCACCTTTCCTGGAACTCACTTGGTAGCCCAGGTTGGCCTCGAACTCACAGAGATCTGCCTGGCTCTGCCTCCCGAGTGCTGGGATTAAAGGCCCGGCAAGTGTCATCTTCTACCACTCTCTACTTTCTTCCCCTTTGAGGCAGGGCCTCTCACTGAACCTGGAGATCACTATTTTCCAGCTAGGCTGGTGGCCAGAAAGCTCCAGCAATCCTCCACCTTTCACCTCTCAGGTGTGGGAGAGTTTCCGGTGCATGCTTTAAGTTTCACTTAGCTTTATAGATGGGTGCTCAGGCTCCAAGCTCATGTCCTCAAGCATATATAGTAGCTCTCTTACCCACTGAGCTGTCTTCCCAGTCTTCAGGTTTTTTTTTTTTTTTTAATATCCCCTGGGTTGCTACAAGCTTCTGGTTAATTCCAGAGTTCTGAAAAAGTTGAGTCAGACCAACCAACATCTCCGGCCAGTTTTGATTATATGGAAAATAATTTCAGAGGTCCACCCTCTGCTATGAATATGTTGTGGCTGACATATTCCAATGAGTATATCTCTGAATAAGACAGACTTAGTCCAGCCACTCACCTTATCTTTACAGATGCCCAAGACATAGATGACTGAGGGAACAGTGACTAATTTCTTTCTTAGTAATAGGTATCGTATTCATCCATTTTTAGTACTATAGCGAGAGCTTGGATGTAGTTCTGTAGGTAAAGTGCCTGCCCGGGAAGCCCTGGGTTCCATCCCCAGCACCATATCAGCTGGGCGTGGTATCCCATGCTTGTAATTTGGGCACTTGGAGGTAGAAGCAAAAGAATCAGAAGTTCAAGGTCATTCTTGGCTACATATGAGCTCATAAGAATCCTGGGATACATGAAACCCTGTCTCAGTATGTAGAAAGGATACATAGAAATATAGAATAGTAACAAAATACCTGGGGCAGGCTGACTTTATGAAGAAAAGAGGTTTATGTAGCTTGTTCCTTTAGAAACCAAGTATACAGTTCTGGCTTTTGCTCAGCTGTCCTGAAGGCCTCTTGGATGCATGTCATCATGGTACATGTGCACAAGAACAAAGAGGAAGTTGCAAGAAGCCAGAGAGCCCCCAGGTCCACGAGTCTTTCTAAGGGCATGTCCTCAATGGCTTATGGTTCTTCCATGAGGCTCCACTTTTTTCTCTTTTTTAATAACATGTTTTTAATATAATATTTTATTAACTCATTGAGAATCTCACATGATAAATTTTGATCATATTTACCCCCATACTCTTCAGCCTCCTCCCAGATCCACTCTCCACCCCTCCCAACTTCCTGTCCTCTGTTTTATCTTTTGAAATAACAAATGATGATTCCAGTTTGTGCTGACCATGAGCTCATGGGTATGGGGTCATCCACTAGAACACAGGCAATCTACCAGGGGCCATACCCATAAAAAACTGACGGTTCCTCCCTTGCAGCCATCAACTATCAGTGGCTGCTCAATGCCTCCCCCGCGGCCCCCTCACCATGCTAAAATGTTTACTGGCTTGATCTTATGCAGGTAACCACAACTGTTGTAAGTTCATGAGTGCCGTGGCCATCTTGTTTAGGGGACTTTGGGGCTTACAATATTTCTACCCTGCTCTTCTGCTGGGAAATGTTATTTTAATGTCTGTTATTTTGTTTATGTTGCATTTGTTTAACTCTGTGAAGCTGTGTTACTGTGCCTGTCTAAACACCTGATGGTCAAGTAAAGAACTGGCCAATAGCAAGGCAGGAGAAAGGAGAGGCGGGGTTGGTAGGCAGAGAGAGTGTATAGAAGCAGAAATCTGGGAGGAAAGAATCAGAAAAGTAGCCAGAGAAGGAGGAGGACTCCAGGGGCCAGTCACCCAGCTACACAGCAAACCATGTAAGAGTAAGATTACAGAAAAGAATGGGAAAGGCCCAGATGCAAAACGTAGATGGGATAATTTAAATTAAGAAAAGTTGGCAAGCAACAAGCCAGCTAAGGCCAGGCATTCATAATTAAGAATAAGCCTCTGTGTGTGATTTATTTGGGAGCTGGGTGGGGCCCCCCAAAGAGCAAAAGAGTAGTAAAAACAATAAACAACACTCTTCTGCAGTGATCCTAAGTACAGGGGGAAGAAGGGGGTGGTGACTGATGGATTGGTGTAGAGGTCTCATTTGTGACGGAAAGACTCCACTTCTTAAAGATTCCACCACCCTTTAACACTACCGCCTTGGGGACCAAGCCTCCAACCCATGAACCCATGTGTGTTAGGAGCCACACTTAAACCATATCAGGTGTTTTGCTTCTGTAGTGGAGGCGGCACTGATGTCAGAGTCATTGGTCTGCCTGTATCCTCAATTCTGGGTGAAGGTCACTGCAAATCTTTTAACAGAATGCAGAGTCTGGATGAGCCATGGACTGAAGAGGAGGGAGATGGTCCTGATCACCCATACTACAACAGTGTTCCCAGTAAGATGCCTCCTCCAGGGGGGTTTCTTGATGCTCGACTGAAAGCCAGACCCCAAGCTCCTGACACAGCCCAGGTAAGTTTGGGGTTGTCTTCTTGGGTTACCGATGACCTTCATTTGCATTTACGTTCTTCAGTGTTATTTCTGGCTGGTGTTCCTCTTAGCTTTTGGCACGGTCCCTCACAGGCTTTCTTCCACCGAAATCACAGAGCACATGGGAAGGAGGGGGTCTGGTTTGACCTCACAGTGCATTGACCAAGTGCCTTAGAACCACAGTGCCGTGTCTGAGGCGTGAGTGAAGTGGCCTAAGTCTTAGCACCAATGCCAACGTGCTGTGTTCTTAACGAGAGGATGGCAGGATTCCAGGCTTTTTAAAAGGCCTGTGATACTACTGTGGGTTCCCTGAAAAGAGTGGACCCGTCCCCTGAAGGTATGGGGATTTTAAGCCTTTCTTTTTCTATTTTGTTTATCCACTACTCTGTTCTATTTTCACTTCTGTTGCTCTGATAAAACACCCTGACACTAACCAACTGAGGGGACCAAGTGCTTAGCTAGCTTACCAGGTTAGAGTCCTTCACTGTGGGGAAGTCCTGGGGCAGGAGCCTGAAGCAACAAGTCACATCACAACCACAGTCCAGAGCAGAGGGATGTGTGTGAATGCTCACGTGCTCGCTTGTGTTCAGCTCACGTCCTCCACTCTTACTCAGCTCAGGTCTCCCTGCCTAGGAAGCGGGGCAGCATACAGTGGTCTGGATTTTCCCACATCAACCTACTTAAAAGGCCAAATCCCCCACTAACATTCCTACAGACCAACGGAATGTAGACAATCCCTCACTGAGACTCTCAGATGCATCTCTTCTAGGTCGTATTAAGTTGTCAATTAAAACGAACCACCATTCCCTCCAACTCAAACAACCTTTAACTCAAAATTGCTTTCTAAAACTATTATATCTCCATCTTTTATATTTTTTCCTTTCTTTCGTAGCGCTAGGGATGAAGCCCAGAGTTATGTGCTGGGTGAGCTGAGCAACACTTCCAACCCCGGATGTGATAAGGTCACTGGTACCAATAAAAATGTTAGGACCTCACTGACATCAAGGCTTCCTGCTTCTCAGGGAATGTACTTCTCTGGGAGTGGATGGCTGCTGGTACAAGATCTCTCTGTGGTCACCCTTGGGAGAATTAATGGGGATCATGAAAACAAGGAGAGTGTTGTAGCATTAATGAGATTGTGGATTTTTTTTTTTTTACAACCATGCAAGTTTATTTGTCAAATACAATGCCACTGGAGGCAGGAATGGAAAGGTGGGTGTCAGAGAGGATGCATCAACCCCCCCAAACTCCGCCCACTACACCGTGGCTCACAAAGAGGAGAAGGAAAAGATACTTCCTTTTTTCTGATTATCAACATATATCTCTAGTTTGCAGGGAAAGAGCAAACTTATTACCAGGGAAGACACTTAGGAGACACATTTGGTGACGACTGGCAGCGAGCACCCACCAGGCAAGGTAAGAGGCAGAGCATGCTCTGCACAGGTCACGCACTGACCATGGGTCTCTACGCTTCCTGTGAGTAGGAATGAGACTCTCTGGAGACATCAGGAAAATGAACATTTGACAGGCACCTGAGACTCCATAGCTCAGTATGTCCTAAGCTCTTATTTGATTTTTCTTTTAGTTTTTAAGTTTGTTTTAGTGTTTGGTGAGGCAAAGTCATTTTGCTGTACAGTTCAGACTGGCCTTGAACTTTCAGTGATCTTCCTGCTTGTAGCCTTCTGAATGCGGGGATGACAGCAGGCATGAGTCAACTCCCCTGGCTCCCAAGATCTTATTTGAAGCCAGTAGATGCTCCCCACCCCCCCACCCCCCGCAAGAACAAACAAGAATTTCTTCATCTATTTGCCAGTAGCCACCCTTCCTAAAGGAACATTACCAAGGTTTCTGTTCCACAAGCAAAGCAGAGATGGTCCCACACAGAAAGAGTGATCCAAGCAGGTGCTCTTGGGTAGCACTTTCTGCATTACCTCTAAGTGACAATACAGCTGAGACCCCCAGGGCCAGCCTCAGCACTCCTTTGGCTCACTGGGAAGTCATATTGAGGCAGTGTTACTCAATGCTCGGCTCCTAGGGCCCTGGAGCACCAACCTGGTTGGCCATGTTGGGCAAGGCCTTTAATCACCAGTGCTGACCCTGGCTAGGAGATTTTTTTTGTTTTTTTTTAAATGAAGGACTGGGAAGTGTCTTAGCCCTGGTACTAACAGGTTTAGAAGAGAATTAACTATGCATAAATGTTCTCACCAGCAGGCTTGAGGAGCTGCTCTGTGGAATTCTGGGTAGGTATCCCAGACACAGAGGCTGGAAGAGTGTCACCATCCTAAGAGGTAACAGGGCTCACTTTCTTGGTGCAGGTTCCTTGGACATCTATAGCACACCAGAAGGGAAAGGGCATATGGCTCTGGTAGGAGAGACACCAACCTATGTCAACACCCAGCCGGTCCCTCCACAGGTTTGGCCAGCAGCAAGCAGCAGCACTGAGAGCAGCCCACGGAAGGACCTCTTTGACATGAGTAGGTGTCCATGGCTTTCTCTGTGCTGCCTTTTATCCGATAGCCACGTCACCACTGGATTTCCTGCTGGACACGGATTGGGTTCCAGTAAGGTGTTTGGGTTACACATCCTCTCTGCAGCCAAGAGACTTTCTTTTGAGGAAACTGGTTTTCCTCTTGAAGACCAACAATGTACACAACAATGTATGTGTGCTCATTTGAATATTAATTGGCCATACCATGCAAACTGATGTATGATTTCAGAGGAACAGAAGTGACGTGGCTGTAGTCAGCGACCTCAGTTTATCAACAAGCACATTCGGATGAGAAATTGCTATATACCTTGTTTACGGTGCCCTCCCTCTGCCACCTCTTCCACCCCCCTCCTCCCTCCTGTCAGCCCTGCCCTCCCCACTCCCTCTCTGCTTGCCCTTCCCTCCCTGTCCCATGCATTTCCTCTCATTTCCCCTCTCATTCTTCCTCCCAGCATCCTCCAAATATGTATCCAGTGCTTACCATGTGTCAAATACTTTTCTAATTACTGAAATTATGCAGGAGTGTGGAAACACATGGCCTTACTCTGGTGTGGTTTAAACAACGAAGCACATGCTGTCAGGCGATGAGGCGTGCTTAGCAGTGAGCTCTAGAGCAGGATGAAGGGAAGGGTGGGAACCCACTGTAATCGGCAGTGTGGGCCCACGATGTCACGTGGACTTGCTCTTTGATGTATAGTTAGAGAAAAGTCATGAACTGAAATGCAATAAGTAGAAATTGTTAAGGAACTTGGAAAGAGTTTTGGAAGCTCATGAGGATAAACATACATACATAGATATGGGGAGAGAGAGGGAGGGAGAGGGAGAGAGGAGTTTATATGTATGTGGGTGGGTTTGCCTCTCTCTCTGGTGTGTGTGTGTGTGTGTGTGTGTGTGTGTGTGTGTGTGTGTGTGTGTGTGTGTGTGTGTATGTGTGTACATGTGTGTGCATGTGCTTAGGCCATAAGATAACCTTGAATGTCATTCCTCAAGAGCCATTTCCCTTGTTTCTGAGATAAGGTCTCTCTCTTGGCCTAGAACTTGCTAACTAGATCAGCCTGACTGGCCAGTGAGCCCCAAGGATCTGACTGTCTACACCTCCTCAGTACTGGGATTGCAAGCACATACCTGCATGGCTCTTTTGTTTTGTTTTTTTAAGGTTTATCTTTATTTTTTATTTTTATGTGTCTTGAGTGTTTTTGCCTACACGGATATATGTGCACCACATGTATGCCTGGTAGCTGTGGAGTCAGGTCAGAAGAGTCAGGTCCAGTAGAAATGAAGTTGAAGGAGGTTGTGAGCCATCCTGTGGGTGTTGGTAACTGTATCCAGGTCCTCTGCAGGAGCAGCATTCCTCTTAACCACGAGTCATCTCTCCAGCCCCATGTGCCTGACTTTTAAAACCTAGGTTCTGGTGATCAAACTCAGGTCCTCATGCTTGTGAGGCAAGTACTTTACCAGCTGGCCTGACATGCATGCACACAGATGCATGTGTACACAAACACACACACACACACACACACACACAGAACCAAAATTATCATTTTATCTTTTATCCAATAGTTTTTAAATCACTTTTCTTCCCCACACTTATAAAGGATTTAGTGATTCTCAAAAAGATCTAATTCTGTTTGACGTGTTCTCCTCTCTCTTTTTCATCCTTTCCTAATTTCCACTGGATTTGGCTTATTTTACACCATTCACTGAGGAGCTGTAGAGTTCCAGTGGGTATCCCAGAAACAATGTGGGACTCGGGGGCGGAGCTTCGTTCAAGAGAGACCACTCTAGTTGCTGCTGTGCTTACACTGTCTCGTGCAGGTGCTCGGATTCCAAGTCCACAGTGTTTACCCAGCACCGCATACCTTTCTTCCAGTGCTTTTACCATCGTACTGGAAAATCACACGCTGAAGTTGAATCAGATGCACTTAGCGAGTTCTTTTGCCACTGGTATGTGTTGTCACTCGCAGAGGTCTGAGGACCCACTGATATGCTATACAGTAAGGAGTCTGTTCCAGAGCAGATTGAGCCACGTGTGATAGCAATACTCAGATGCCAGTGAAGGGCAAGGCAAAGTAGGCTTCCTATCCTGGAGCAAGTCTACCAGAGACACCAGGGATTTGGAAGGAAATCTGTGGTGCTTTGGGATTTTCATGGAATCAGTTTCCTGGTTTGTCTATTCCTTTGGCACTGACAAGTTTGTATACAGGGTTTCTTTCTTCTTCTTTTTAAAAAACTGTTTATTCTTTGTGGCTTACACATCATGCATCTCAATACCATTCATCTACCCATCCCTTCATATCCACCCTCTGCCCTTGTAACCTTTCTCTAAAATAAAATAAGATTCAAGAGGAAAAAAAAAAACAGAAAAAGAAAAAGAAAGATCTCATCGTGGAAGTTGCAGTGTGACACAGTGAGTCACACAGTGTGCTCTTTAGTTCATACATCTTTACTTGCAAGTGTTTATTGCAAAGAGTCATTGGTCTGGCTTGAAGCCTCTGGTTTCTGCTACACTATCAGTGCTGGGCTCCCACTGGGACTCCTCTTGGATATCCTGTTGTTGCCCTGTGTCATGGAGATCCTGCAGCTTTGGGTCTGCAGGACTGGCCCCTTCACATGCTCCAACAGATCATAGATGGGGTGGGCCAACTCAGCCCTGGTTCTGGGCCTGGGTGGTTGCAGGGTTGGTTAGCCTGCCAGCTGTCCCCCATCCTCACCACCAGGGTGAGCTCTCCAGCATTGCCCCAGCTAGTCCATCCTATGTAGCAAGGAACAAGGGGCAGGGCGGGTTCTCCTGCTTTCATGCCCTCAGGGTCAGCTCACCCACACCTACACCACCAGGGCCAGCTCTACTGTGTTGCTCAGGTGAGGTGCAGGGACCATTCTCCTGAGTGCTGCAGCTGGTGAGGGGCAGGACCAGATCTCCAGCCCTCATGACCCCAGGGCCAGCTCCCCCACCTACCACAGCTGGAAATGGACATGGGGTGGCATCTCTCCCCCACCCACTCCATGTTATGGCAGATGAGGGTCAGGGCCAGATCTCCCATGCTCACATTCTCAGCTGCTCACCAGCGCCCCTGTTGACAAGATCAGCTCTACTGTGCTGCTTAGGTGAGGTGCAGAGCCCATTTTCCCAAATGCTGCAGCTGGTGAGGGGCTTGGTCAGGTCTTCTGCTTGCTGCAGGTGGAGAGGGGCAAGGTGGGGAGGGATGAGATTTCTTAAGGAGGCTGGCTAATGGTTCAGAGGTAGGTGGTGTGAAATGGCAGGTTGGACTTGCTTTCTTGCGGTGGGCAACGTTGAAGTCCTTCTATCCAGCCAGACAAAGTATGTGCTTATATCCTTGGCACCAGGCACAACCTCCAGCTGTCTGGAAAGTAGAATCACCAGAGAGTCATGCCAAAATTTGGGCGGTGCATTTAAATTCTAGTTCCGACTATCCATCTCTGTTGCCAGCCTTCATCAAGAGTTACATTTTAATTTTCATCTCTCACTCTATTTTTATTGCTCACTCTTCCGGGATTGATTTGTTACTGTCATGTGTTGTTGACAGAGCCTTTTGAAGATGCTCTCAAGAACCAGCCCCTGGGGCCCGTGTTGAGCAAAGCGGCGTCTGTGGAGTGCATCAGCCCTGTCTCACCCAGAGCCCCAGATGCCAAGATGCTGGAGGAGCTTGATGCTGAGCCCTGGTACCAAGGAGAGATGAGCAGGAAGGAGGCAGAGGCACTGTTGCGAGAAGATGGAGACTTCCTAGTCCGAAAGAGTACTACCAACCCTGGCTCCTTTGTCCTCACAGGCATGCACAATGGCCAGGCCAAGCACTTGCTGCTGGTGGACCCGGAAGGCACGGTGAGACATGGGCAGGCACCTTCCAATAGGCTCATAACTACCTTTAACCATGTCTATTTATGAGGCCTCACATGGGACATATCCACACTGCCTCTTCTATCTACATGGACCTGCCAGGGACAGGAGACTTCTGTGACAAGTGTTAGTGATCTATGCGAGTTATAAAACGTGGAAAACTATCATAGGCCAGGATAAAAGCTTTCATCTTCATGCCCTTGATAACGAAATGGGGCCTGGGATGACGGCTCAGTGGTTGAGAGTACAACTGCTCTTGCAGAGGACCTGAGTTTGGTTCCCAGCACCCACATTTGGTGGTTCACAACCCCCTCTAACACCAGCTCTGGGGAATCCAGTGCTCTTTTCCAGCCTCTACAGGCACCTATGCTCATGTGTCTACATACACACTGATAGTTAACATTTTAAAAATAAAATGTTAGTTAAAAGGTAATGAAATAGCAGCTAGGGAAATGGCTGAATGGGTAAAAAGCTTGCCATGTGTATTAGTTACTTTTCTGTCGCTGTGATAAAATACCATGGCCAAGATCAACCGAAGGGAGCGTATTTGGGCTTATACTTCCAGAGTAAGAGTTCACAGTGGTGGAAAGGGCATGGCAGCCGGAGTGGGAAGCTGGCTGGTCACATTCTGTCCACATAGTAGGACACAGGAGGAGTGGACTGGGAGTTGACTGAGGCTGTAGACTCTCAAAAGCCCACCTCCAGCGACACACTCCCTCCGTAAGGCTGCGCCTCCCAAAGGTTCCATAACCCACCCCCAAGCAGCATCACCAAATGTTCAAATACATGAGCCCATGGAGGACATTTTTCAGTCACACCCCTGTACTGCAGAAACATGAAGACCTGAGTGTGAATCTCTAGAATCCACATAAAAGCCAGACATGATAGCATCTGAGATCCCAGTGCCCTTACAGTAAGATGGGAGGCTGCCTCAGTCAGGGTGACCATTGCTGTCGTGAAACACCATGACCAAAGCAACTCGGGGAGGAAAGGGTTTTCATCATCAAAGGAAGTCAGGACGGAAACTCAAACTTGGCAGGAACCTGGAGGCAGGAGCTGATGCGGAGGCCATGGAGGGGTGCTGCTGACTGGCTTGTTCAGCCTACTGTAGCATGAATCTTAAAGAGTCTTATTAATAAAATCAAACCTGAGGTCAGTTATTGGGGTGAATGCCAGAAGATCAGAGAAGCAGAACAAGTCACAGCCACCTCATCTCACCAGTTCCTCAGCTGATCCTGTCTCCTCAGACTGGAATGAATCTCAGCTGAACTGTGTCTCAAAAGCCTAAGAGCTTAACCAGCCAAAAGCTTCTAGTTTCTGGTCCTCACGCCTTATATATCTTTCTGCTTTCTGCCATCACTCCCTGGGATAAAAGGCTCACTTTCTGGGATTAAAGGCGTGAGTCACCTTGCCTGACTGTTTCCAATGTGGCCTTGAACTCACAGAGATCCAGAGGGATTTCTGCCTCTGGAATGCTAGGATTAAAGGCGTGTGCTACCACTGCCTATCCTCTATGTTTAATATTGTGGCTGTTCTGTTCTCTGACCCCAGATAAGTTTATTAGCGTGCACAATATTTTGGGAAATACAATACCACCACAGCCTACTTTCTTATAGAATCCAGGACCACCAGCCTAGGTCAGGCACCACCCACATGGGCTGGGCCCTCCCCATCAATCATTAATTAAGAAAATTACCTAAACAGGTTTGTCTACAGCCTGATCTTATGGAGGCATTTTTAAAATTGAGGTTCCTTCCTCTCAGATGACTTTAGCTTGTGTCAAGTTGACATAAAACAATGCAGCACAGAGGCAGAGGCCAGAAACTTCCCTGAAACTAGTTTGATGTATACAGTTGTGAACGATGAGATATCTCAACAGTGTCAGACAAGGTAGAAGATGAGGTCTGGCATTCAAGGTTTCTTTTTCCCTCTAACCTCCACATGCACACTGTG